GATAAGTCTTTGTTTAAAAATAGGTAAGAATTGTTTCACCAATACACTATCGGAAAAAAATCCATATTTCGGCAAAACCAAGTACCGTAAGCAGTTTTTTTAATTTTACATGGCCAGTGTTGTCATTTTCACATTTGTCACGGGCATTATCGTAAATACATTTTAATATAATGTTATCCGTTTTCAGTTATTTAAACCAATACTTTATTATATGTGTATACCTAGTGATAAATAACGGATACCTCCCTAATTCCCCATAGACCGACACGTTACTTGTACTTAATTTAACGCCAAATATCGTTTTACAGTATTTGAGATGCACACGTGCCTTTATTTATTATATTTTAAACCTTTAAATAGATTTTAGCATAACATAAGGTAAAGATTTTTCTATTAAATAAGATACATAAAATGTTTCGTATTAAATGTTGTTTATAAATGTGTAAAACTATTCAACGAATTAAATCGAATACATATGTACTGGGAGTATATTTCATTGAGAGTAATTTTATTTTAAACATGTACCTAAACACTGCACAAACTATGGTAAAACAACAACATTTTTATTTACAATGGTGCAAAGTTTAGGAAAATAATACCATCCAATGTACGTTCTTCTAATTCTCTGACATCTTTTACAAATAAGTATAAAACATATCTTGCAGATCAAATAAATATCTTCATAACTCTGTCATTATGCTATTATGTTATAATAATTATTATGCATGTATATTTTGTTAAAATATTTTTAAATGAAAATTGTATAAATGATATTTAATATCTAAAAGGAGCGTTTGTTATAGGACAAAATCTTAATGGAATAGTTAACTGTTGTTATTGTTTTATGATCTTTTGTGTTTCTATATATTGTTTAGAAGGCACAATTTAAAATTAAGATATGTTATTTGTTTTATACGATTGTATATCTTCATGTGTTACAGTTACCTTCTTTAAATAAAGATATTATTATAATTATTATGTACATAGTATATAGGTAAATGGTTATTAAATAAGTAATTTGTTTATAAAAAAACGATATGACTGACGGCATTGTTTCGTTTAACAATAATTCATATAATATGTTTATCAGTCACTTAAACGTGTTAAAGATAACATCTGTTTGGCAAAGTATTATAGTGACGAACAACATTGTTTGATTACATAAAGAACAGAAAAACCTTTACAAAACAACGAATTGTTACCATAAAGATGCTTAAAATCGAGAAATGCTGTGTTAACGTTAAACCTTAACTATACTAGAATTTCATTTGGACTGAAATTCAAACATGTATTTCTTATCACCTTCAAAATAAAATATTGAGAAATATTGATGAAAAAAGATGCTTATTTTAATTTCCGTACTAACACTGTAAAAATTCTCTTTTACTGCAGTGAAAGTGCACTTACACTGAAGCATGAATCAGACTTACAAGATAATTTGTGGCCCCAATTTGAAAAAAAATGGTTGTCATAAGAATTATGTGGATACGTAAAAAACAACAACTTAAGATGAGTTCATACCTTGTGAATTATTGAGAATAAATTTTAAAACAATACATCTGTAAACCGACATCAAATATTTTTATTTATTGCACTCTTATAATAATAGTATACAAAACGTTTTTAAAAGACTTAAAGTGTATAAAGCTATATATATCTGAAGCAAAAATTATTGCTTGAATTTTATAAAAGTATACTTCCAAAATGTTTTTATGAGATAAATATGCTAATTTATTGCCTTAAAAGCGAATGGTGCATGCACAAAATCATTGCTAAACGGATGAAACCCTACTTAAAATAACAAAATTATATTTTGTTCCGGAACATTTTTTTCTCTTTACGTACATAATTCATGTGTATTAAATAACAGAGACATTCTATGTTATAACTTTTTCGGGAATAAACAATATAATAATAGAACCAATATATCTTTACTATTAATAAATTTTATTTAAATATTTGAATTTTCATAAGATATAGATATGAGCCGCGTCATGACAAAACCAACATAGTGGGTTTGCGACCAGCATGGATCCAGACCAGCCTGCGCATCCCCGCAGTCTGATCAGGATCCATAGTGTTCGCTTACAAACCCTATAACAAGTAGAGAACTGATAGCGAACAGCATGGATCCTGATCAGACTGCGCGAATGCACAGGCTGGTCTGGATCCATGCTGGTCGCAAACCCATTATGTTGGTTTTGTCGTGACGTGACTCATATATACCTTTAACGCATTATTCCAAATAATCACAATTGGTGTTCTTCAGTTTCATATTTGATATGTTTTCTTGTTGTTTTTTTTAAGAAATTGGCTGCAACAAGGTGTACATGTTTTTATCAATAATTAAACAAAGGTCACATGATCGTTTTGTACAGAACTTGCACGTATCATTGGAAAACTCGTGTAGAACTCTGTTTTATAGAAATATTACAAATTTTAATTTTCAACCGTATTAAAATTATTTTACAAATGAAAAATTTGCTACGTATTTTTTAGAATAAAAGTATCATTCCCTAGCTTACTAGCAAAAACTGGTCGTTGGTCTTTACCTTTCAGCCACACCATCCAGTGAAAGATTGCGTCATTTTTGTAACGTCTTAGAGGACGAATATCATTTTTGTTGTAGAATGTGTTACTATTATGTACAATGGATCAAGACAAAATTTCCTACCTTCAAAGTACTGGAGAAACCCTAGTATAACCAAATACTAATGAATTAAGACAGCCAGAAAACTATTTCTGCACTGCTTGTGTGAAGCGTCGCGATTTTTTAAATAGTCTATACTTTAGAATATTCGAACTTTTGCATCAACTTAAATATGTGTAAATGTCGCGAAATTCGCAAAATATTTTGTCACCAAAGCAATGAAATATATAAGAGTATACACACTATTATGTCATGAATATATATTATAACTGATTTCACGCGTGTTGTTGTTATATAACTAAAAATACGTATTTCTTTACATTACACACATTTTATTTAAAATGTGCCGTAAAACTATTATGTTGCAATTTTCCGGCAATTACTATCGTCTGAATCCACGGTCCGTATATTTAAGTTATTTACCAATGATGAAGCATGTCTGTAAATAGTCTCGGTTACCATGGGTATAGTTTTCTTGCTATATACATATAATATCATAATTATGTATCTTATAGCCATTGTCTTCTTCAAAACTGCCAAAAAAACTGGCCGCTAATTTTATCGCATTTGTATACATCTATATATATGATATGTAAAGTAAATAATTGATAAAATTACATTCACTATCGCTATATTACATGCATGTACTTGCGTTCAAATAAACTTCTGTTAACATGGGAACTCAAAATGCAATCAAATGCAGCTCAAATATATTTGTAATATAAATTTTTGTTTGTTGATCGTGCATTGACCAATCATGTTTGCGAAATATTTAGTAGGTGCTTTAGGTCTAAAACAATGATTCAAACCACAGGCGTCCGGCACAAGAATGTTAAGGGTTACTGAAAGCCATATATATATATTCTTTATTTGAGTCTCATCCATACATAACATAAAACAATTCAATGACATAATTTTACAAAGTAAAAGTTATTTATGTACGGCCATTCTTATCAGAATTACAAGAGACTATAAAATTTTTAATCTAATGAAAGGGAGGCAACCCTGCAAGAATGTCCAATGTTACTTACAGAGTTACCTCTCTTCTCATTCCATATTCATATGCATGTTACAATTTAAAATTGCTTAAATAAGAAACTATTGCTAATCTTGTTCTAAAATACTTAAAATGTTTCTGGTATTATTGCTTTACAGTAAAAATCCTTAAAATGTTCTCTTCCTTAAACCCGTAAAATTACACGGAATAGCAATAGATTCTTAAACTATAAAATCATGTAAATAAAATTAAATCTATTGTGTTAATTAAGAATAAAAATATGTCTGATTTAAAAAAAAAACAATGCGAGAGCAAAATCTTGAACGTGTCGGGGGAATAAGCTAAGGCGAGTTCTATACCTTGTATATATTTTGTATACTAAACGGTTGCTGGAGAGTAATTTTGTTCTTGATGATCAAAGGGTGATTCTTTTATGATAATTTGATCATTATTGGCATGGCAAATGTGCCAAACGCCTGTGAATCAAACTATGATAGTCATGTGTACTTTAAAGGTAAACATACAAAACCTTTAAGCATTTTTTAATCTAAACAAACCAAAACAAAAACAAACTTAAAAGCGGAGCAATTTGCGTGAAAAATTAAATACCGCGGTTTCCAATTTGTATGTTTCTGTGAATTCACTTAAATAAATTTCGTGGGCATGAAGTTTCGTAGATTTGTTGCAAATAACATTTTCGTTGGGTTTTAAATTCATACCAAAAGGTGAAATGTAAATAATGTGATGTAAAATAATCTTGCAGCAGACGATTTATTATTATTATTATTATTATTATTATTATTATTATTATTATTATTATTATTATTATTATTAATATTATTATTATTGTTGTTGTTATTGTCATTATTATTATTATTATTATTATTATTATTATTGTTGTTATTGTTGTTGTTGTTGTTGTTGTTGTTGGTTTTTGTAGTATTTTGTTTACACATTAACAGGGCTTAAAATAGAACTGAATAAGTTATAAAAATGTCATTTTCTTCAGTACAAAGTAGTTATGTCATATATTATGACTACACACTAATTATATCATGAAATGAAATCGTTGCTTTTAATAACGTATACAAATCAAATATCAATAAAATAAATCAATTAGCAGCTATAAAAAAATGTCCAAAAATTCAATAAAGATGTTTATTTCAGCTGTCAATCAGGCTTACATCACTGGTTCTACGTTATCACATGACAATTGCGGTTAAAAACATCAATTAGCGTGTATATTTCAGCTGTCAAATATAATTATGTCATAGCAATTTAATTACCACGCAGTTATTGCTTAAAATTGCGTATAGTTTTAGATAAGCGGATAAACAAAAACAATCACATATAAAACGTCGAGGCGGTCAGCTCTATAGCCATTTTCGTTCAAAGCTTTTGCAAGGAAACTTTCGTCAATCTTTCGCAATTCATAACAATCGAAGTTTATTTTCTATTTCCTTGCAAATACTTAAATACGGACGGATAACTTTTAAAACTGTTTGAATATCTTATTCAGTATTAATATATCTTAAATATGGTTTTAATAATGCTAGTATTTATATGCATATTTTTCATGGGATCCACGATTGTTGAAACTCGATATATAGCATCAAATCAGGTAAGAAAGTTTTTATTTTCAAAAATTTCTTTAATATACTAGCTACATGAATACACATTTTATAATTGCATTATTTTTGTTAAGTGCTTAAATCAGTAAATGTGTGTCAATTACTGTACAAATAAAGGGATTTTATCTAGTTTAAAAGTCCATTATGCCTCAGAAAATAATTTGTCTTTACTTCCTTAGAAAAGGAAAACATGCATTTTATAAAATGTTTAAATAGTAGTTTAAGAACATGTTAGATGTTAGTTACCCTGAGGAAAGTAGCGATAAATGCGAAATAATTCGTTATAAAAGCAGCAAAAATGTAAACAGTGTAGTATTTTGACTTCCGTACAAAAACAAATTTACTATAACTGTATTTATTACCAAAAAGCAACAGATGAATGTAATTGGACTATAATTTGTTTAATATCATTTAAATTTGTATGACTCTAAATTTTTTAATTCTTCGTCACAGCGTCTGCAAATCAGTCGAGTTCTTCAACGAAGACCAGTAGAAAATATGTTCCCAAACCATGTATTATATCGACGAAACCAACGAGTCATTTCATCAGATAAAGGCTACAACTCATACAGCGGAAGGTTTACCCAACCTCGAACAAAAATGTCATCTGGGAATTCATTTTATAAATCATCCATACAACCTTCGAAAAAGAACAGCTTAGCTGAAAGGCGGTTAGGAAGTTTTGAGTCGCGAAATCACCAACAAAAATCGTTAAATAAATTAAGTTTTCTTGACCGAAAGCGTAAATTACAGATCAGCCTTAAATTCAACGAACCTAATTCTGAAGACACGAAAATGCAAAAACATGTACATATTAAATCCAAGAATGTCAATGATTTGAAGATATCTCACGGGATAAAAAGTACGAAGATTACCATTGATAGAGATGGCTCACGAACCGGAATACATATGTTCAGGAGACCAGTTTTAAGATCAAACAACGGCATCCGAAACGTGTACCATCCGAAACATCCTCGAACAAATCATAGGCGTAAACCTTCACCGATCAATAAAATTCAAGTGCCATTCATTTCGCCTACATTTCATACAAAGAATGGTGAACTTGTGGAAGATGGATTAAGTTTTCAGGCTAGCACTTTTAATCCAAAATCGTGGATTATAGATAATGTCTACAAACCAACAGCACGTGTCCAAACCGGAAGTACTTCCTCATCTGTTGTCTCCACTTCGGCCCCTTTCTCAATCACAAAATCAACGGTTCAAGTTATACCTAAAAGTGAAGCAACACTGACAATTCCAAGACGAGCATTAACAGATAAACCTAAACTGGATTATTTTGTAAGCGTGTCAGAAATTTCAGCTACAACAAATGGACCGTCTCCGTCAACCGTGACCGAAGAATTAGATCTTCCAGATTCCCCGGATGTACCAGATTTACCGGAAGCGCCTGAATATCCAGACTCGACCACATCTGCAGGAACATTTGATTGATAATGTTTTAATATTCTTAATAGTTTTCTTCACAACATAATAACCTTCAATCTAATTTTGATTTTACTGTGTCGCTGGTCGATATAATACATTCCAATTAGCATATTTTTGTGCATAGTATAAAAATAAAAATAATAAAAATTGGTATTTTTTATATTTATTTTTGGTTAAGGTATCACGTGATTATTACATTATGAATATACCATGTGTATGATATAAAAGAAGTATACCAGTATATAAAGTAAATTATATACATGTATGTATTAAGTATTCAAAGTAAAAACAAAAAGCCGCATCGGACAACGACAATTCAACGAGGGTAACTTTAACTGAATTGGGACAATGAAACGAGTACTTTAAGCGGTTATTCCTATTAACGTGCTCGCTATAACCGTTTATTTTTTAAATTAAAATAAAGAAGGGAAAATTCGGGCCAAAATAAACTGTTCCTTTTAACCGGAAGTTCGCTATAACCGTGTTCGCTTTAAGTGAAGTTTACTGTAAATCAGTATTGGATAAGTTCTTGTCAAATTAGTCTCGTTTCTATTTTTCGAATCGAAAAGACTACATCAAATGTATAAAAAAAATGTGTGCTCTTTATCACATACCCTGTGCCGAATTTGCGACTCCGTAAAAATGATATTACACAGCCGTACATATATTTTGACGTGACGCCATTTGCGTCATACAAACATAGCGTAAAGACACATTAACTGTTAAATGTTTTGAGTATGTGATAAATGGAATATTATATTTGTGTAGGTTAATTACTGAATTTATTGAACTCGTTGAATAAAATAATGTTTTGCTCGCCAGAGGCTCGCATAATATAATTTTATTCGACTCGTTCAATTAATTCAGTATTGAACCTACATTAATTCAATGAAAAAGTGCAACATCCCTCGTGGTCCCTGGTACCGGCTTGAGAAGTATTTTATTTTCAAAGCTTAAAAGCGCTGGAATAAATGATTCCGGAGGACCAGAAAAATATAACAACTCTGTAGTGAAGTATGTGCTGCCACACGTTACTTGACACCCGCTGTTGTGCCGGAAGAATGGTGATCATATACATGTACACTGTCGAATACGGTGCATATTCTATCAGACTAGTACACAGCTGGAAAACCTAAATAGCACCTCGTCCATGCTAGGTTAGACGAATGCGTACTCGCCTAATATAATTAAGTATTGTATTCAACAATGTATTATAACCTAAAAGTATGTTATACATATGTATGTCGATACAGTAAGTAAATCCCAGAAAAAAAATGAACCAATCAACGAGCATACTCTCTTTATATCGCGGACAGACAGTGCAGTAACTAGATTGCGGATAACATATTCCTGCAATCCAGTTAACGCACACAGCATGAATGGCTATATCCAATTTGTATGGAAACGTTAATTAGGCACGTGAAAGTTGATACCTACCTGTATTTTGTCCACTTTATCACGGTATCTCGTGAAAATATATGACTACATGATGCATTTATTAATACCAGAAGTTGATTTTTCTCTTCAATACTATTTTTTTGACATGTCGAAATATCGGAACTGGATTATTATAATATTATCATCATCATCATCATCATCATCATCATCAATAATAATAATAATAATAATAATAATAATAATGATAATAATATCATCATCACCATCATCATTATTATTATTATAACTAGATCTATTATTTTTTATTATTATTATTTTTATTATTACTCTTAATATTAATTAATTATTATTATTATTATTAATATTATTAATATTATTATTATTATTATTATCAACATCAACAACATCATCATCATTATTATTATTATATTTTGTTCTTCATCACCACCAACACCACTTTTTTTTCATTATTATTCTTATTTTTTTTTTTATTTTTTTTTTTTTTGCGAGACAAACACACTCTTTAATTAAAGATTGTGGAAAACAACATCTTTTGAGTTTGATAAGATAGTCAGAGGCCTGCACCTATACATTATCTAACCATATGCTACCGTGTCAAGCATGAAGTTATTTAACAGGTAGATATCATTTACCTTTATTTCTTATCATTTTGTTGTGTATTTTTTTGTTCCATTTTATATATCATTTAATTCCAATAAAATTGTATATTTCTTGTAGTATTTAAAATATTTATACGAAGAGATGCAATAACTATTAAAACGGTGTGGAAGTCTTAAAGTAGGTCGACTACAGTGAATTTATACAATACACCAACACATCAAACTCTTAGGTATTCTTGTACAAAAGTAAGGAACTATAACCATCGCAACAATTTTTTTTAAAATTCCGCTTAATGTCTAGTTGGCTTTTTCATCCTCTAGTTTGAATCTAGCTGTTTAGTTCAGTGATTAAATTTTTCATAATATAATTATATGCAACGACATTTAATATGATACTTTAGGTAGTCTGACTGTTACAGTAATGTTTCCCGCCAAAACTTCTAACATCGGCCAATATCGTAGCCAATCGGTTATTTCCGTTACGTTATTTTTTCGAAATCTTGGGCGTAAGATTATTTACAAACACTCATTCTTATCACTATGAGTATACTAAATTCCGATTATGAACGGTTAAAACTTATTTAATACCAAAGCTTGTGAAATATTATGTTCCGGAAATGACCGATTTATTACGATATTTTTACGCGGAAAAGCATTACAGGAAGACTTCCTTAAGAAACGTCTCTGTCTACTTTCATTTATGTGATTTGATTTTCATATAAATATATATAGTATACAGTAGCGATTATACAATTATTTACTAGATTACCATTGCATACGATGTGTTATTCACCGGCAGATTACATATTGATATACATTGTGATATAGCCGATAGACTTTATGCAGGTGAATGTCACATCATATTCAATGGCTCACTAGTTAATAGTTTTTTTTATGAACAGGCTAAATAATCACAAAAAGTATAACCTAATACAACTTTTGCCTGCGGGAAAAATACGCACGTGTCAGGCGTGCAACGATTACTCGAACGCTGCGCATACAAAAGTAATTCAAGTTTATACTCATCATTGCGTTAAGCCTTTAACTATAATAGTAAAGTAATGATATTTTAATCTTAAAATATGGCATAAAGAATAAAACGCAACAATTATTTTTTAATGCGCACGCGTAATTAACAGTCTGTGATATGGGGTCATTGAATATGGAAAATCCAATTTAGGCTACACTCAGTGAATATAATTTTATAAAATGTTCTGTTGACTACTGTTTGGACCAATGAGCTTGCTGCTATATTTAGATCATATAATAATCTGTGATACTCACTTCATTTTATAAACCTACATGTCATGCAACAACGAGGAGAAATGTGTCCACCTTTGTGAGTTATCCCTAGTATCGAAGTGCATTTTTAATTATAATATACATGTATAACTTTATACAGCTACAAAAAAAATCTGCTCAGTATATCATCATGACGACTATTATAAGAAACATGTCCGCATGGCATAGGCCCTAGCCCGCGCTAGCACATATACTTCATAGTTGTTGTTGTTGCTGTTGTTGTTTGTATCAGTTGTTGTTGCTACTGTCACGAACTCACTGGTCCGGTCTCGTTGCATATTTAACATTTCAAAAGCTTAGAGACCCGGATTAACAATAATATAAGACACATGAAGCTCGTTAAAAAAGATTAAAACTAATTGGTTTCAAATAAATTTTAATAATCAAAATGGCATAGATGGCGAAAATAATATTAGGGCCCAGTTACACAGACGGTCGGTCCCCAATCGGTCATTTAATTTTAAATGTACTCGCTGTTATGATCGGTTGTCATGCGTGATTTTATTTCTGGTTTTCAGTGTAAACGGCCATCGGTGACAGACAGCAAACTCAAACGGGAATGGGTCGATGAATAAATGCTGAAATACTTTTGGTTTTTATCGTTTGTAAATCGAGCTAAATCGGGCGCGTACGCTGATTAATCGGTGTTTGATAGCTAGTCATCAGTGGTTAACACTTTCCGTCAGATATGGCCGGTGATTCATATTTTGGTTATCTTTGTCCGATCGGCGATATCGGGTGATTAAGAGCTTGCACATCTCGTGATATAGGTTGCTGTCGGTTATTTGTAAAATATTTTCACCGATCGAGAATTTTAGACGTGTTTAAAAATCCCAATCGGTAATTTTTCACCGATGAAACTTATCTTTCCCCAATAGCAGTTGATAGGTAGCAAACAGGTGACCAATAGGTGATATCGGTGATAAATACGTTGTCATCGGTTCACTCCATAAGTTGGCTAAAAAACTACCGATCAATCACCGATGGCTCTGTGTAACTGGGGTGTTAATTTCTGTAAGGAGTTCAATAATGTAGAAATGAAGATACACGAATATAATGCTCGTTCTTTATACCATATTATTGGGTTTTAAAAAAATGAGCACTCTAATTGAGACAACAATAGTTAATCTCAACCATTACCGTGCTTTAACTTTCTATTTGTATAACGCAATTGATGTCACATTGCCAAGTTGTAACACAAGTCCATTATTATAATACTACTTTAATTAGATTGGTTTATTTAAGTGGTAAATCAGGGAAAAAACTATGGTGGCATATTTCTGCCACTATATAATCATATAACTAACTAGTTAATTAAGAGGTTAACTAGTTACGTAACTAGTTAACCTCTTAATTAACTAGAAACTTTTATCAGGTTAACGAGTTACGTAACTAGTTAACCTCTTAACTAATTAGTAAGTTATCAGGTTAACTAGTTACGTATTTAGTTAACCTCTTCATTAACTAGTTAGTTATCAGGTTATCTGGTGGCAGAAATATGCCACCATATTAAACTGATATAAAGCTTATTATATTGTCTTTTCGTTTAGTTGATTCTGATATGATATGCTCAAATATCAATTAATTATCCAATTACAAATAAAACACTTTATCGCTAATTATTTGGAAAGCCCCGACCTTTTAATAAACAAACCTATACAGAGGCCCTAGTCAATTAACATAAATTTATATCCACAAAGCACAAGAATAATAGTAGTTTGTAAGTGACATTCTATTTATTTAAATCAGTATATTATGAATATTAAGCAAGATTAAGACTGTTGTC